TCATGAAATTTGTAGGCAAATGGTGGGATCTAGAAAAGATCGTCCTGAGTGAGGTAACCCAGAAGCAGAAAGACACAAATGCTATATGATCACTTATAAGTGGATATTAGACATATAATATAGGATAATCATACTGAAATCTGTACACCTAAAGAAGCTAAGCAAGGAGGAGGACCCCAGGTAAGATGATCAATTCTCATACAAAGTTCTTAACATAGTACTCTTTTCCCAAATGGACATTTTCCATTTTCTAAGCTGTTACCCCAAGCTCCTGATGGGAAATGCCATTCCATTTACATTGCTTTATTTCTTTGGTTTCTTTAGTTGTTTGTTTAATATTTATTCCTTTACAGTTATATACACTTAAATAATGAATTTTAGTCTTTTTATCCCCTTTTATACCATCTTATCCCAGCTCCTCCTCTTAAAACCCTCCTTATAAACGTGTGCCCCTCCTACTTCATATATGTTTTGTGTGCGCACCCCACTAAGTTCAATTAGGTTGTCTGGACACGGGGAGGAAGTGATTTACTGAATCTTTGCTGGACAGCTTATCACTGACTACACCACTGAAAGAAGTTACTTCCCTTCTCCTGACCACCAGTAACTGTCAGTAGTCTCTTATGGAGGAGCGGGCCCCCTTCCGTGATGACGTGTCAGCAAATGTGCAGGTCTTGAGCAGGTAGTCCAGCCTCGGTGAGTTCACAAGCACATCAGCCGTGTCATGCACCAAAGATCGCTTCATAGCACTCCTCCCCAGCCTCTGACCTACAGTCTTCCCCCTGCTCTACCACCATCTTCCCTGGTGAGGGCTGGTGTAGAGATCACATTTAGGACTGAGCTCCAAGGTCACTTAGTCTCTGCAGTTTGACTACTTGTAGCCTCTGTATAAACCAAAGTCAACTGTGAAAAGAAGCTTGTCTGATGAGGGCTGAGAGCTGCACTTGGGAATCATTTTGATATTGTGTCCACCCAGCTAGCACAATAGTGGTAGGTCCTATTTTATGTTTGTGACCTCACCACTCACAGGATATCACACACTGCCTTATTTCTCTAACATGCTAGGTTTACGAGGGGCAACAAGAGTTAAAAAAGAACATCACCTTTGAGGGAAGGAAGTGCTCACCTGATTCTAGGTGGATGGTGTTTTTTACATAAATATTTGTAAAGCAGTACTAAGCATTAGTCACCAAATGCTGAGATTCTGCACTTAAAGAATTTCAAATACATGAGTAACAAGATTAGGTACATGTAATATCGAATCATACAATAAGAATCACTTCCATTTTTGACAGACTTCTTAGTTTAAAACCCTGAGAAACTTCCTGTAATCAGAACCCATTTCCAACTTCACAGGAAGATAAAATCGAATGATCCACTCATTCTTTCTATGTCCTTAATTTGGGGTCAGTTTGAACGCCCTGCCTCATGTCAGCTGTCATTTTTGTGATTGAAGTGTCATTGCGCATTACAGTTTTCATTGGGACAGTCCTCGTCTTTGATTTCAATTCAATTTAATTCCAATCAAGTCCTTATGTCTCAGGACAATTGAATTCACTTAGAAACCTTTCTGGACAAATAGGATTGTAACCACCACTTCCTGTCCGGCTGCTGAATTTCCTGAAGGCTTCCAAACCCAGGACACAGCCTGGACGGCCACTGGGTCTGGTGAGAAGGAGAGAGCTGCTGTGCTCAGCGGTGGTAGCTCTGGAACCAGCAAGGCCAAGTTTGGACACACAGTGCTTGCACCATCATTTCCGTCTCCACTCTCCTCTCCCTACCACGGCCTCACTGGGTTAGTGCTGTTCTGAACTAGCAAAAAACAAAAACAAAACTCTGCCCTAAGATCTTTTTATGAAAATATTGGATGAGAAGCAACTCACTGGATGATATGTTAGAAGGATGCTGCAATGTGTTTGTTTTGTTTGATGGAACTGTATCACCACCCCCCTTCATCACCAGTGAGAGACAAAATGGGGTGGGGTGACAGCATAAGCCATCCATATCAAACTCAAAATTCTCCAGAGACAACCAAGCTACTCTGTTGAGATATAACCTGGACATCTGACTTCCCCCAGAATGTGTGTGTTTCTAAAAGGCTTGTCTTGTAAGACTATAATAGAGTTGAACAGCCACTCCCTCACATCCATCAAAACTCCTTTCTGCTGTCAGCATGTGGGCTTGGTCCCTGGTCACAGTGCTTTGGAACATAGTGGCAGTATCCCAGAGGAGGAAAACAAGAGACATGAGGCCCAGACAGGACTGGTCCCAGAAGACTCACTGAGCTGAAGGGTTTAGCTGAAGCAGAGAACTAGCAGGCCTCTGTTTAACATTCCTTCAGGCTATGCCAGAGACTGGTAGTTATACACACAAAGAAAGGCACCAAAAGACTACACTGCAGCTACAGTGTCCAGTTGGAGCCATGCTATTACCTGGGACTCTCCTGGTGGTTTCTCTGGATGTGGAAACTAGTTTTAAAAGTCTAGCCTTACAGAGGGCTAATATCCAGTATATATAAAGAACTAAAGAAGCTGAAAAGCAGCAAACCAAGTAATCCAATTGAAAAATGGGGAACAGAGCTAAACAGAGAACTCTCTGTAGAGGAATATCGAATGGCAGAGAAACACTTAAAGAAATGCTCAACCTCATTAGCCATTAGGGAAATGCAAATTTCCCTGAGATTTCACCTTATACCCATCAGAATGGCCAAGATGAAAAACTCAAGAGACAACACATGCTGGAGAGGTTGTGGAGAAAGGGGAACCCTCCTCCACTGCTGGTGGGAATGTAAACTGGTACAACCACTCTGGAAATCAATCTGGCGCTTTCCCAGACAACTAGGAATAGTGCTTCCTCAAGATCCAGCCATGCCACTCCTAGGCATATATCCAAAAGGGGCTCAACAACACAATAAGGACATTTGCTCAACCATGTTTGTAGCAGCTTTATTTGTAATAGCCAGAAGCTGGAAACAGCCCAGATGCCCCTCAACTGAAGAATGGATACAGAAATTGTGGTACATCTACACAATGGAATATTACTCTGCAATGAAAAATAAGGAAATCATGAAATTTGCAGGTAAATGGAGGGACCTGGAAAGGATCATCCTGTGTGAGCTGTCCCAGAAGCAGAAAGACATACACGGTTTATACTCATTCATATAGACATATAACATAGGATAAACCTACTAAAACCTGTACATCTAAAGAAACTAAGAGAGAGGACCCTGACTAAAATGCTCAATCCCCATCCCGAAAGGCAAAGAGGATGGACATCAGAAGAAGAAGAAAACAGGAAACAAACTAGGAACCTGCCACAGAGGGCCTCTGAAAGGCTCTACCCTGCAGACTATTAAAGCAGACGCTGAGACCTATGGCCAACTGTTGGGCAATGTGCAGGGAATCTTATATAAGAAGTGGGAAATAGTAAGATCTGGAGAGGATAGGAACCCCACAAGGAGAGCAACAGAACCAGAAAATTTAAACACAGGAATTTAAACACAGAATATGAGTCTTCTCAGAGACTCATATTCCAACCAAGTACCAGGCATGGAGATAACCTAGAACCCCTTCACAGATGTAGCCCATGGCAGTTCAGTGTCCAAGTGGGTTCCATAGTAATGGGAAGAGGGACTGCCTCTGACATAATCTGATTGGCCTGCTCTTTGATCATCTCCCCCCGAGGGGAGAGCAGCCTTACCAGGCCACAGAAGAGGACAATGCAGCCACTCCTGATGTGATCTGATAGACTAAGATCAGAAGGAAGGAGAGGAGGACCTCCCCTATCAGTGGACTTGGGGAGAGGCATGCGTGAAGAAGGGGGAGGGAGGATGGGACCGGGAGGGGAGGAGGGAGGGCCTTAGGGGGGGATACAAAGTGAATAAACTGTAATTAATAAAAATAAATAAATTTAATTATAAAAAAAAAGTCTAGCCTTCTGAGCAATACTCCAGGCATAACCAGTCCAGTATCGTGGTGACTCCTGGGTCTGAATACCTCTGTGCTGGCTGGTTTATGCACCCCAGGCAATATGTTAAGATATGTTCAAATAACAAATATCTATTTGTCCTTCCCTGCTACCTTTATAAATGAATATATCTTTCCTGAGGGATTTATCTGTATACAAGCATGTATACACTTCAAAGCCAGACATGGCTTTCAATCTCCAATGTACTCTGGCTTTAATTACTTTCTGTAAGCTTTATTGCAGAACTTTGATTTCTGGAATGCCGTCTAAACATTCCAATTTGAGAATATATGCTGCTCTCTCAAGCTTTGTATAAAATTTTGTTATTGTATCCACAGAAGTCACTTTGGTTTCTCTCCTTGTCTCTCTGTGCCTGCCGTATTAGTACCCTTAATCTGTATTAAAGTGTAAGGCCATGAGTTGAATTTCAGGTGAATTTTGGGTTGAGTGAGCAACACAACAGAACCTGTTTATCTTACATCTGAGATTCTCCTGGGAAAATTCACTGTTGGAAGCCGGGATGTAGCTTAATGATAGAACCCTTACCCAGCATGCACAAGGACCTGGGCTGTACCCCTGGCAAAACATATGCACATGTACATGCGTTCCTCTCACAGCTGGGAAGCAAGCATTGAGTGATATGATGTTTCACCACCCAAACCCTCTTTCTTAGTCATATTTGCTACTGCCATACTTCTCACAACACAGCCCCTTCACCCCAGATCTGATGATCCTTCCACCACTTCCTTCCTGGATCTCTCCTCTGCCCAAACAGCCCAAATTTGTTTTCAGCCTAAGTGATGCTTATACTTCAAAATCCCTTTAGTCACTTCAAAGGCTCTGTTAGAAGCTTATGGACACCTCTGTGGCTCACTTCTCCCGTTATGAGCCCTTTGAAATCTGCATGAATGCCTCACACATGTATTCTGTGTTCGCAATTCTGTGTTCCATCACCGTGCCTGGTGTTTTTGTTTGGCACACATTAAAAACAGACGAGTGAAAACCAGCTCACTCTTTGTTTCTTCTTCCTCCAGAAACGATGACTATGGATAAGAAGACTGCTTGTGCCAAGGACACAGTCGGACAACCGTGTAACAATGATTTTAAGTAACTTTCCCCACCTAGCAACATCCAGATGACTCCAGCAACGAAATGCTCCGCTGTACCCACAGCAATACTGGCCCTCTTTCCAAATTGGATTTGGTGAATCTGAATGGTTCACCCACCTTCTTCAGGTGGCCCTAGGTGATATGCTGTAGGGAAGCTCATCCTTCATTGCCAAAAACCAAATTTGACTGTGGAAGAAAGCAAGTGGCACAGTGAGAGTCCTGAGTGCCAAGACACCTAGTGATTAATGTAAGGCCTTGGTTGTATGGGTGTGATACTGGTCCTGGCAGTGGTCAGTCTAACATGAAGTCATTTGTATGAATGCCCTGGAAAGACAGAATACTTTAAAAAAATATATCCAGGTGCTAAATAGGCAGCAGATTTTAAATCAAACTCTACTACCTGTGAGTTAATGACTGTCTTCAGAGAATAATTTCACCCCCCCCCCAAAAAAAAAGTGTTTCGGTTTTCCAAGGAATGGCCCAAGAGAATCCTAGGCCAAGCAAGCCTGGAGGAAGTCTTGTGCAAGGCAGGTTAGTTCACAGCAAACTCTCATGCACATGGCAGAGTCCCGCTTGGCTGTGGCCATTGTTCACTAACAAACCCAGATTCTGAGATTCGAAACATTATTTCCAGGTGGCCAGCAGCCACTTCCTTCCCAGTGGCAGTTCTAGAATGAAAAGTGTCATCCTTGTTAGAGATGCCTGCCTTCCAATGGCGTGCATGTGCACCTTGGAATGTTCTTTCCCAGACTCAGAAGTCTGTGTTCTAAAATAAGATCACTGGGAGATGACATGGGATCCACTGAGAAAAGGCATGGCTTTCGGGCTTTCTTTGACACAACTGCCTTCTGGGTATTTCCATATGCAACAGCCCAGAGTATAGACTTGGGCAGCCACAGACAGAGGCCCTTTCCTACTTCAGACATCACTTTTGCAGCACTTGAGGAATGGAAATACCTATAGGAATGAAGGCCAAGGGCTCTCCCCAGCATAGCTCATCCATTACCCATCATCCTTCTCAAACAGTCTACTGCCAGTTCTGCACCTCATCCTCCCTGCTTTTGCCTCCAAGAAGTGAAACCAAAGGCCTCAGCATCCCCTGACTGGACTGGGGACTATGGACAGGTCCTCTCTCATTATAGGTGCAAAGCACCTCCACACACCATCATCACTGCTCCAAAACTGCATTTCCCTTTCAGTCTCTTTAACAGAATCCAGGGATGGGTTGCAGTTAACCATCCTGGAAAGCACCTTCTCTTTATTTCAATTCATGTTTCAGTGTAGGTTGCACCAGGTAGACGCAGCATCACATCATGTTGTTGGAAAGTTCTGGTTGCCATACACACCTAGTTCAAGAAATCCTACTGCCAGTGTCAGATCTTATCAGGTCTTGAAAGGGTGGAGGCCTTTGGTTGTGTAAGGCAAGGTTAATTCACTCAAGCGTAGTGCATTTCCCAGCCTGTCTGATCCACTCCCATCTCTTTTCAACTTCCATTTGCAGGGGTTCAGAGAGAACCCCAGTTCTGCCTATGTCTGATAAAATGAGAAAACATACCTTTCTTTCCCAGTGGGTCCTCTCTACCCATCCCTCCCCATTCAGATGTCCTCCATCATACCAGTATTTAGAACCAAAGCCTGAAGGGCGAGTGCCAACAGAATAGTGAGCAGAAATAATGTCAATAGATCCAAGCAGATGTGCCTGGAGGAATGGTCCCAAAGAAATTAGAATGGCTCCAGCAAAAGGTTAGCAGGTAGCCATCTTGTTAAGCTTTGATATGTCCTTGTCAATGGCAGCCCAAATTGGGCTGAGGTAGCCTGTTGTCCTACCTCAGGATCCCCTTGCCTTGAGCTAACAGCCCTGAGTTACTAGTGAATAAGCCACTAACTCAAGGACACCTTTGTGGGGGCATTCAGGCAAAGAAGACTGTCCACGTGGTGAACTTTGATGGCTTTGTATGTGGTAGCTTTACCTAGCCAGTACAGCTGTGAACAGAAGCTGGCTATCAAATTTTAATTCCCTCAGCTCATTTGCAACTCTGCCTCTGTTCTCTTGTGTTTTGTTTGGTTGCCTTTTAGTTTCCTAGTAAATATTCCTTTTGAAAAATAATCCATTGTCGCTTTGAATTGGGGAAAAGGTGGTTTTCTGGCGTATTTTTCCCCGGGATAGAAGGACACTACAGTATTTGGGGAAGGGGGATGAAAATCATGGCAGAAAAAGAAATACCTTGATCAGATCTTAGGACAACACATTGGAAAGATCTGGTGCTGAACAAGAGAAAGAAACCAGGTACCCTCTCGCCAATACCCGGCTCTTCTCCTTCCTGCCCTCACTTCAAGGAACTGTGCCCTGGGTGTGTGCTGCCACTAAAGTGTCTCCTGGGTTAATGACTATGCATTCAGCTGGGGTGTAATGTCCAGTAAATGAACTAGCATTGCCAAGAGTCAGCAATGTGGGGAAGATGGCTGTTTCTAAAACTCTTTAGGGATCCTAACTCCTCATGACCATCAGCAACCAATTTTTCATATGAAAAGAAGAAAGTCACCCACACTTAAAGAGAACTAACATACAGACAGAATGCTTCCTATTGTTAGGGTTATACTCTCCTACAATGGTGTGTGCTCTAAATATCTACTGGTATACAAGAACATGACAAGACAAAATATAGTGGTGTTCCAGTGGTGGTGTGTCTGTGTGTGTATGTCTCAGGTTAGCTTCAAACTCACAGGTCTCATGCTTCAGCTTTCCTTGAGTGTTGGGAATAGACACATCCACTATCATGACAGGCCATAGCAGTTTGAATGGCCATGTACTGACTCTTCTGATTCTGTGGGTTTCCTGGCCCCTTGGGTCTCTTTCTCTCTCTCTCGAAAGCTGGGGCTTATGTCATCTGAAAGCTTGTACAACTGGATGTCATTGCCATGCCTGGCTCCTCAACTGCAGTGACTAAGAGAGCTTGAGAATGGTCCTTTCTCTCCACATGGTGAGCTTGGACTTCCTCACAACGTGGAGCCCTCATAGTAGTCAGCCTTCCTAAAAAAAAGCCAGAACTGACACTGTAGGAAGCCCTGTTTCTTCTCAATAACATCTAACGTAACTGTCATTTCTGCCACATGCAATGGGTCAGGAACAAGTCAGAGCATCAGCCCAAATTCAAGGGAAAGAGTTACACAATAATGGAAAACAATGTGACTCAATGGTCATCTTGAGAAACAGTAGAGATAAGGGTGGTGATAGGGAAGCTACAGAGTCAAAGAATAATACAGAAAGCCTTGACTATGGTAGACTAGTGCTCTGCTGCCAGGCTCCATGCCCAGCCTAAACTGCTGTCACTTCACAAACACAGTACTTAACATGCATAGGCAATGGGTGGAAAAGAATGGAGAAGGGGAAAGGGCTATCCATAGAGTGTTAAATAGCATAAGGTGAAGAAAAGCAACTGGTTATGACTGATAGAACATGACAGATGTGAAAAACATGGGTGACAACTATGATTGCTACAACTATAATAACCGTGAGTACCTTATTTTTAGTTCATCTCTGAGCCAAATTGAAGGTGCAAACAGCTTGGGATTGTCCCTAGAGACAGAAATGGTGATAGAAGTTGTGCCTATTTGGAAGACTTCAGAGATAACTATTGCTTAAAAGTCTCTGCAAGAACTGGGCACGATAGCACACACCTGTAATCCCAGCACTCAGGGAGGCAGAAGCAGGCAGATCGCTGTGAGTTCAAGGCAAGCCTGGTCTACAAAGCAAGTCTACAACATTCAAAGAAACCCTGTGTTGAGAAACAAAAAACAAACAAGGAAGTAAAGAAGGAAGAACGAACGAGAGAGAGAGAGAGAGAGAGAGAGAGAGAGAGATCTGCAAGCTCCCCTGCTGCAGGAGGCCCTCACATCACTGTGAGGTTTGTTGCAATGGTACCTGCTGCCTGCCTCCTTCCTGCAGTTGTCCCACACAGCAGAATAGGCTAGTTCACTGTTCATCTCCATTCTTTGGCCTACTCCTAATTCGTCTCCCTGTTAGAACTTTCACAAACACTTTCATGAAGGAATTTAAATGAAACATGAGAAAAAAAATGATCAAAGAGAAAAAAAAATTTCTACCAGGGAAAACCTGCAGCAGAAAGCCAGGAAAAGCAGACAAAGGGACAGTAGTCTGGCATTCTCAGAGGCAGAAGGTGAGCCCTGGTCCTGCTTTCTACATCAAGGATGCCTAAAGGGTGAACAGCAACAAAGCAGCTCTGGCCAGTGCCGTGGACCAAGATGGGATTCCTGATGGCAGACGAAAAATCTCTTAGCCTCTCACCCAACTGATGAAGCTGTTCCTGGGTTAGTGGCAGGAAATACTTCCTCCTCCACCCAAAAGGCCAAATTGTTGCTGCCTATATCTCCTGGATACTTGGTTGCAAAATTCAACTAGCTGTAGGATCCTCTGTGTGCCATCTCCCCTAGTCATCTTTCCTGTTGGAGCCAGGATGTCTGAGCCTGGGAAAGATTAAGAACCCAGAGAGTCTCCAATGGGTCCAGCACTGCATGATATTCATCCCAGGAAAGCTTCAGTGCCATCCAGGTCCCCATTCCTGACAAGCCTGTGTCAAACCTTTACATCAGACAGTGGGAAAGGGAAGAACAGGCCAGAGAAGTCTGGCCCACTTGTGCCCTCCTGAATCATAGGTAAAGCCTCCAAGAAACACTTAAGACTGCCGTTACAGCTGGGTGAGCTTGTGCAGCCAATGTAGGAAGTGTATTTATCAATCTGAAAAGTAATGATGATACATCTTAGGACAACAGTTTTCAGCCTATGGGTCACAACCCCTTTGGCAAACCTCTGTCTCCAGAAATATTTACACTATGATTCAAAACAGTAGCAAAATTACAGTTATGAAGTAACAACGAAAATAATTTTATGGTTGGGGTCATCACAGTGTGAGGAACTGTATTAAAGGGTCACAACATTAGGAAGGTTGAGAACCATTGTTTTAGAGTTTACAAAGGTATTGTTGCTTTTATACATATTCTTTATTGTGTGAAAATTCAACTTGAGATCACCACCAGGTTTACTTATTTTTGCACCAGTGCTAAGCTGAATGTAGTTATTATTCTATGATTTTTTTCCATTGCATTCAAGTTACTTCCAAACTAGCATTTGACATAGGAATAGTAATGGCTTTTCGTATCAAACAAACACTATTTTTAAGACTTATTTTTGTGTATGTTGGTAAGCATGTGTGTATATGTTGCATGTGTTGCCTGTGGAGACCAGAAAAGGACATCAGATCCGCTAGAGCTGGAATTACAGGGAGCTGTGGGCCTATGTGGGTGCTGGGAACCGAACCAGGGCTTCTAGAACAGCAAATGCTCCTACCCACTGAGCCATCTCAGTACCACAGCAAATATCATTTTTAAGACCCTGGCATCCTTAAAATTTACATAAAATGTCTTTTTCATGAGGATAACATCTGAGGCTTCACTTTGGATTTGCCTAGATTTCAATTTATCAAAAACAAACAAGAACAATTCCTCCAGTTTGCCAAAACATAAAGCTTTAATGCAAAGAAAATAATAAAACAATTTCTTTAAATACCCAAAGGTACTTGTGAGGGTTTCAAAGATGAGCTTCTAAATTGTACAAACTGATAAATCTTCCAAAAGTAAGTGCTTTTGCTTCAAAAAGAGATTATTTTGAAAACACATATTTTCCACTCAAAGGAATTTATGTTTAAAATAAAGCTTTCAGATAGTCCTTATCTTAAAAGCAAACTAGAAAGTACAAACAAGATAAGAACTTAATAAAGAGGAGCACTGCTATACTGTGTGTGTGTGTGTGTGTGTGTGTGTGTGTGTGTGTGTGTGTGTGTGTG